TTGATACACTTTCAGCCGTTTTGTAAGAAGAGCAAGCAGTTATAGTCTCAAAAGTTAAAATATTGCAACCTTTATCTTTCTTTTCAGTAGCCTGCAACTGTTTAGAGACACTGGAGTGGCGTGAAGTAGAATTGACAGTTTTTAGCCTGTTGGTCCATTATAGCTAATGATAGTATACCTCCACAATGGCGGACTGAAAAATTTTCCATTTACGGTACCCCAATGAATATCATTATAAATTGGCAAAATCATTCACAGGAAAGATATGAATACTTTCTTGTTACTCCTAGATGACTGGAAGTGTGATATATTGTTTTGGAAGAATAATGGCTGTAACTACACCAGTCATTGTTAAGACATAATACTATGTTTTGGTAGATCCTGATTGGGTGTAATGAACCTTAATTTAGAAGATTCTCTTATCCTTTTGCAAAGGATTATCAGCATACAGTTATTCATTACAGAGATCATAAAGTGTGACAGAAGTACACGACTTTGAAGAAACAAACCTGTGCTTCAGTTAGGAAAGAAGTTGAGATGCAAGAGCAATTACCATCTGTTGACAATAAAAAGTATATGCAAACCTGTTCCATCAGAATATCAAACAGTTCTTTGTCCAAGAAATCCCAAGCAGATGTGCAATTTACAAGCAAAGCAACGACAGAAACTATGCCTATCTCATGATGCTTTGTATAATTTTCATGAAAAATTGTCACTCACCCAAACCTCACTGTGATCTGTGGCCTCAATTCAATGCTGAAAGATATAAACAGACTGCTTTCTATTGCTGAAAGCAACTTGCATCACTTATTGCCATATGATATAAGTTTTTTGCTTGGAGATTTTTTACGTATCACCACTATTCTTTAGAAAAGTTTTATTTTCAAAGTTTCCTGTGATGCAAGTAGCATTCGTAGTACACAAAAGAAAACTGAGATGTTGTCTTGAAGAATGTTCAGAGTTATTGCTAAGGAATTACCATCTCTTGTTAATGTGAGTCAAATGATACCAATGGTAACAGATGATGAAAAGGCATTTGATACTATTGAAAGATATCTAAAGTTCATCAATTACTTTGTTGGAATCACATAATTAATAAAGCTAAGCTGTGGCTAAGGCAACATTAAGCAACATCACAAGAAGTACTAGTTTATGTGAGTGATTTTTGTGATCTTCTCTATTAGCCATCTGCTTCAGAATATGACTCAGCTGGACATTTTAAAACAAAAATGGAGTGAATAATATCCAAAGCATGATGCCTAGAAACTCTCTCTGTGTTACCTCTACATGCCAGAGCATGATCTTTAAAAGCATAAGCAGGGCAGAATCAAAAGGGACAATCAGTGGTGTCACTAGAACAACTAATATCTCCGGGCTGAAATTCACAGTCTAAAAGATGAAGGCCTATGAGGAAGGAAGAACTCCTGACCAATCACCTGCAGCATGAGGAATATTGCTAGACAGGAGAAGGGCCAAAGAACGAATGTCCTGAGTCGATGAGAGAAGAGCACTTTGATTGACCTCATTATTGTTATTATTATTATTATTATTATTATTATTATTATTATTATTATTATTATTATTACTATTATTATTATTATTATTATTATTATTATTAATAGGGAAAAAAGAAAAAAATGCCTATTAAATAAACAACCCTGTCACAACTCAATTCAACCATTTTTTAAATGGCATGAGACTACTAGCACTCTGTGCACTGTTTATTTAATAGCGACATTCTAGCTGATTCAAAAATGTACTCACCCCAATATATCTCACTGGTCGTCCCTGTAAAGAACACATACCAGCACTCGTACCACCAGCCACCTTGATGCAGAGTAGCACAATTGTAGCTATTGGTTTCTTTGTCTGGGGTTAAGAATGGATTGTTGTTGTGATGTGAGAGATAATTAGGGAGTGTCCCATTATAGTTTCCAACGTTCAGTCTGTATCCTGATTCTTTGCTACTGATACTGAAGTGATCATACATGAGGATATGCTTGATTTTGTTGGCTGTTAGCTCAATGCGTAAGATTGTGTTATAGAGCTGAGTATAGTTATGCATAAATTCCAATCCAATCCAATGATTACCACTGATGTTCCCAAATCCTTGATATCTCTTGTACTGACTATATGGCTGATTGTAGTTTACACTATCATCTGTACCGTCCCTGTAGAATATCACTAGCCAGGCTTTGTTGTTATCTGGCTCCATCTCACAGTACACACTGGCATTGGCTATGTTATACACTCCAGAGTAAGGGAAACCACT